GTACAAACGGACACGCATGACTCGGGTGAAATCCATATCAGCAGTTAAAAGTGACCTGCTGTGTTAAAAATCATGGCTAAACAAAGTTGTGTCATGACTGGCGGTAATTGAGGCTGCAAATTCAGAGCGTGGCACGATGTCAATAAATTGATCGCTGTTGATTAACCTTTAACTCTGTTGCTCATGGGTGTCAGAGGCGCAGACTGGCTTTAAAGAGAATTGTTTTACTGCTGCAGCTAAAAAGCAGCTTCATAATTGTGACTGATGGAAATATTTATTGAAGTGAATCTATTCTTGGCAGCGTGGTCTTTCTGGAAAATATTGGTGAACTGTTTGAGCAAAGACAATGTATAAATTAATCTCTAGCTTTAATTCGATCTCAGCTGATGCATGGCGTGCATTAATTTAGCTATTTCAGGCAGATTTACGCACGTGGAGAAAAGTTCACAGTGTTTGGTGTCGGCTCATTCGAAGGATGCTTTCGTCCTCGGGATACGCAGAGAGATCAGTGTCCTATCAATGAGTCCCACTTGGGCTTTCTGTTGTAGCTATGCTGGATTTGAACGTAGCTCAGATCAGACAGTAGAGAAAGAAAAAGCAGAACAGAGTTAAAATCTGAGGATATTTTTTAAAAAATGATCCACTTTAACATATTAAAGGGGCAATATTATGTGTTTTTTCAGGCACAGAGAACACCTTTTTTAGCACAATCAAAACACTGTTATTTTCAGTTGTAATAAAAATCATATATATATGACTTAAAAGAAATTTGACTTTGTAATTTACTACCTTCAAATTGGGCCTCCTGCTCTTAAATTAACCCTTTAACAAATTTTCCCAGCATTGATCTGAGAAGTAGCTCCTATAATGAGCTCACCAGATGTTCCACCAGGTCTTTGCTAATTGCTGCCGACTAGTCTGAAGGAGCTGAGTGGGGGAGTCGCAGGGGAGGACTGCGCTGTGAGGCAGAAACTTAGAATCTTGTAAGCTGCAGCTCCGAGGAGGAGCTGTGCCTTGAAGGCGGGGCTAGGTCCACCCAGGTATTTTACACAGCTTAATGGTTGCCAAGGGAGATTAAAGGATTTCTCAAATCAAGGCAACACTCCAGGTATGGTTTTGATGAGGGCATAAAAATTAAAACATGATGTAAAGCTCAAAAAGTCAATATACCTACACTGGCAATTTAATGTGACAATACAGGAAATTAAGATTAAATTTTAAAAAAAATTCTCGTCTCTCTCATAGAATAGACAGGAAATGTGGATTTATGTAGCTGTGTGCAATAACTACAGCTAAAAACTACTTTGACTTGACTGAGGATAACATAATGTGTCAGTGAACTGAAACATTGAGTTAATACAACTGGGGTTTAAATTTTGACGTGCCTGTTTTGTTGCTGTTTTTTGTTTGTTTGTTTTTAATTAATTAGATTTTATTTCTACAAAATAATTCCCTGCCTCCAGCCGTTTCATGTCGTCCTCACCTTGGTTCCTATTGTAACGGTGTTAAACCTAGCAACTTCTCCATGCCTATGATTTATCCTAAATTTCTCCAGTGTGAGTCAGGGGTTGCATTTGCCTTCTCAGAAACGACTGGCACCACAGGAACCAACGTCTGATGCCAAAGCCAGACGAAGGCAGGAAAACACGAACCCAACCCACTCCTTTTAGTCAATGAGTTGACAGCCTGGTCCCGGGCATGTGCTCCGGCCTGAAATGCTACCAAAGCTTCTGGAGAGCCTGACTGACTTCTCTCAGCCCCTTTGATTCACACACTGTGGAGGAGGTGTGGAAGCAGATGAATGGCGCCTGAATGAGTGGGTGGGGCAGACGGGGAGGTGAATGACTCCTGCAGCATCATTTCCATGGCAAAAAAATTACTCATGTTTTATTCTCGACAAACGGCCAAAACATGCAGCCAAGAGGCGGGGGAGGGGAGAGGGGTAGGAAAAAGTTCTCCACTGTCGCCGTCGCATGGAGGCCAGTGTGTAAACGGAGAGCTGCATTAGTGGTTTCAACTGCCGGTGTGCACTCAGTGATGTGTGCACATTTTATCTCTCCACCTGCGTGGAGTCTCACAACAAAGACAAGGCACATCTAGAGGAAGTGAGCCAACCGTCAGTTGGGGGCAGATCCATTTGAAGTCGGCCGTCACGGTTAGAAGTTCTCCAAAAGTCAAACAAAGAACATCCTCGGTGTGATAGTTGCGCTGCGCTGCAGGTGTTCGCCTCATGGCCTTCGCAGCTGCTGCTGCCGAGGACAGCAGTTCATGTCATCTCTGTCTGAGCCGGAGACACTTTGAGTCACGAGGTTTGATTTTAAAAGAAACAAAACCTGCTCAGGTGTGCAAACATTTAAAGGCACAGTTCCCTATTCGCGTTTCACGTCCGCGATCCCTTCCCTGACCAAACTGACCAAACTGTGTTCGCGTTGAACGTGTTGAGCGACTGGAGCTGCTTTTTTTCTATCAGCTCTCTACTCTGGATAGTAATGCAAAAAGTCAGATATGTATGACAGACAATTAACCGTCTTGGCCGCAGCACATTTACAAAGCAGCAAATTCTCAAAACAAACAAACAAAAAAAACAAAACAACTAACTATATTTGTATATCCAGACTCCAGGGCTGGTTAAAAAAAAGCTCCCAGTATTTGATTCTCCTCAGGCTGAGCTGGATCTGCTGATCACAAACGAAACAACACTGGGCTGCTCACATCGCGCTCACCTGCATTTTAATTGAAGTTAAAGTCATTTCTCTTTACCGCCGCCTCCAAAGACCACTCTTTTCTTTCTGCCTATAGCTGATATTATATTAGCATCACGTCACATGACATCTGGCAGCGCTGTGTGCTGACGTCATCACAGCTGACATCCAACGGGCCGTGCGTTGCTGCGCCCCCAAATCCACGCTGCAGGGCTTAAGAGTTATCAGTGGATGTCAGGCTCTCTTTAGAAAAGAAATCGGGCTTCTTTTTCCTTCTTTCTTTTACTTTCTTTCTTTTTTTTAAGAAAACAAACATTCTTAGCTGCTGTGGGGACAGAGGCAGCTTAAATGTTGATTTCCTGTTTGTGCCATGTTTGTTGTTCTTCTGTAAAGTTTCAGATGTTTGCTCGGTGGCTCCCACTGCTCACTGCTCCGCTTTGGTACAAACTTTTCTCGTGTGACGTGGGGAAGTAGAAACCTCCAGGCAGCAGAAAGAACCATGTGTGTGGACGTCACTCAGACTCTTAAGACATCAGGAAACACACAGATGTGTCTTTAAAAAAAAAAAAAATGAAAGAGGGAGCGAAAACCGACTGGAGAAGCTGTGAGACAGCAGCAGACTGACATGTCTGCAGTGACATTCTGAGAGTTTGTGACCCAAAGTGCAGGATGTACTTTGTGTGGGTGTGAGTCAGACACACAGGAAGGTTACACTACAGCGAAAACCCGAAGAAAACAAAATGCACACATTTAAAAGGAAAGCAGAAAAGTAGACGTAGAATTCTGCCTGAAAATAGTTATTGCTTCCAGGTCATCAGGGCAACTTCTGCCATCTTCCTGGATATTCGGTTAAATTAAATTAAAAAATATATATTTTATTAATCTTGAAGGGATATGTTGTAACTCGTATATTTTCAGAGTTATTGGAGATGGTGATGGCTGTGGGCAGGACGGATCTCCTCTGGCCATCTGTGTTACTGTGGTTCTGCAGAAACCTCTAACTAAAGACATTCTGTTTTCCCAAGACAGTCTCATGAAGAGGATGGTCAGGGTTGTCCATAATTTGATGTAAGATCCTGTTTTTGTTTTTTTTGCATTATCATCTCCAGAGTTTCCACAGTCGTCACCAGAACCAGAACAGAACTGGCCTTCTTTATCAGGTTGTTGAGCCTTTATAAATGCCTGTATCTGATGCTGCTGCCCCAACAGACGACAGCAGCTACAGCATCTTGGTACAAACCCTGAATGATCTTATCATCCTCAACAAGTCCAGTCTGCTCTGTTCCTTCTTATAGTTGCTTCACTGCTACGTCTCCAGTCCAGTCTCTTGTCCAGATGAACACCGAGGTATTTATATTCCTCGATCTCCTCCACTTCTTCTCCCATGATGGAAATATGCTTTGATCTAACTCTGTTTCTCCTGAAATCGACAATCATCTCCTTTGTTTTGTTCACATTTAAGATGAGATGATTGTTCCCTCCATGACACAAAGCGCTCCACCAGCTCTCTGTACTCAGCCTCTTGTTCATCTCTGATAAACCCGACAGCTGCAGAGTCATCTGAGTGTTTCTGTAGATGGCAGAAGTCAGACTTGTGCTGGACGTCTGAGGTGTAGAGAGAGAAAAGGAGTGATGAGAGTACAGAGCCCTGTGACGCTCCTGTGTTGCTGATCACCTGGTTAGACACTCTGTCCTTCAGTCTGCCATCTGTTTGTGAGACGCTCATAGATCCAGGTGACTGTCGGCCTCCACCTGTGTCTTCTGGAGTTCCTGACAAAGCAGATCAGGCTGAATTGTATTAAATGCTCTGGAGAAAACTTGGAAATTTCTGAGTTTCAAAAATAAAAGAAAAAAAGTGATTTCCAAGTTTGTTTGATGTTTCCCCACCCCAAGAACATTTCTGAGATTAATCTCAACATTTCTGAGTTGTTGTTTTTTTTCTGGTGGAAATTTTGTCTTCTGTTTTTTCTAGAATAGCTCTTATATGGCATCGTAAAACTCTAACTCATAGGAGTGTTTCAGTGATTTTAGATTTGAAACTCTTTGAAATTCTGACTGCATATAGAAATCAGAAATAATTCCCAGAATGTCTGCCTTATTTATTTCCTCTGTTAAAACCTGTTGGACTTTCATGTTTTCCTTCTGTTGAAAATCAAATACTAGATATGTCTATAAATCTTTATTTGCTTTTTGGTGGATGAGAGACAGAATTAGAGAAGCAAAGAAAAGCTTGCTGATCACAGAGAGCGAGAGAGAGAGAGAGAGAGAGAGAGAGAGAGAGAGAAAGGGAAGAGAGCAAGAGAGGAAACTGCATGCGAGAAAGCAGCAGCACACACACATACACACACCCGGAGCATTAACCATGCTCACGAGAATCTGAAAGAAAGACAGAGAAGTGAAGGAAGAAGGCAGAGGGAGGGGGGAAAGGCAGGTTTAATGAATTCAGGCGAGAGGGGAGGGATGGCGCGTCTGCTGAGGATCCAGTGGCCGCTGCTGCCGCTGCATGTAGCTGAGCGTTTGCAGTGAGGGACGTCTCTGTGGCTCGCTGGGAACCAGACACCAGTCCTGCACAGCCACGACTCCACGTCTGTGAGCCACGGGCTGGAGGTCTGCCTGAGCCGGCGGGGCAGAGAGACCGGGGATGGTGGACGGTCTGGGCTGGGATCAGCAGAGCCCACAGGTAGGACAGACTCCTCTCTCTTTCTGTCTCTCTCTGGTTTCTCTCTCCGTCTGCGTGTGTGTCATCTGATGCTTGTTGCTGTTTCACTCTCGTCCGGTTTGGGCTTGCTTTGACGCATGCCACATGCTTATCTGAATTTCTCGCTCGTGCTTCTTAAACTTGCATTTTATGCTTCCTCACTGTGTCGCTTTGTGAAGTCGACGGGTTGCTGGCTGAGCCAAGCAGCATTTCAGCACATGACGGGATCAATACTGTAGTCTGATCAGCTGGTGTTTAATGAAAGCCGCAGACATCCCCTCCCTGGGTCAGGTCACACTTTTCCAGAGAGAAACATCTGGTCAAAGACATCCTTCAGTCAGAGCTCCCCACGTTGAGAGGAGGTTCATTATTAAGAAATGATCATTAACAACGAGTGCAGACCACACCATCAGTTCCAAACTCATTTCTGAACATCTTGCATCCACTTTATGCTAATTCTGACTCTGTCTATGTGTTTGGAGCAAGAGCTGCACAGCCTGACACCCTTTAATCCCAGCCTGCTTGGTTCAGAGCGACGGTTTAGTCGGAGACAGCTGATTAATTTCCTGTCACACACCTAATCACATCTCATAAAGCAGTCACCAAATGTCACGGTTGCTGTTTCCCTGGACGGAGCCCGCTCGGCTTGGATGGCGAACATGCGGAGCTTCGCCGCCCGACTCTCCTGTGAGGAAACACGACCTGTGAGCCTGGAGAGGGCAGAGCTGAGCGAATCAGGGCGGGCGCAGGGTGGATGTGAGCAGCAGGGCGTGTTGGGAGGATCATTTAACTGCCCTCTGAAAATGTGGCTCACGTTCTGAGTGTCAGGATGGGACGCATGCGCCGATGTGCACTGCATGGGCCACGCACCTGCTTTAGGTGAGAGGACTGGACCAGAACACGCTGATGGACCCCTCTGATGATGAGCCACCAATCAGGATGAGGCTCGAGTAAGGAAAAGCAGTCTGTCCGGATGAATACTCACTCCGCTTCCACAGGATTAAACATGCAAGGCTCTGTCAGGAGACCAGAAACTCGCTGACTACTGATCCACTCTCTAAGCAGAGATGGTTGCCTTCCGGGGCTGTTTGAGCCCGTGTGTATCGTATTCTGTGTGGAATCAGGACAAAAACTCCAGTTTGTTTTTGTTCTCGCTGTGATTCAAACAGAACCAACACACTTATCAAATGGCTGCACCCAACCACTATCCTGGAGGAACACAAATGGTTTTTACTGTCATCATTCAAGTGGCCAAGAAAACAAAACAAAACAAAAAAAATTGCCAGGAAGTAAACTTAGTGTTTGTGTTGGGACAAAAAGCCCAAGGCAGGAGGGAAACCCAGTTTGGTCCCTTTACTCCCTCATTCAAAAACCTACCTGGAGTTTTGCCTTAATTGTTTCATGCATGTTTGAGAAATCCTATAATCTCCCATGGCAACCATTCAAGCTGTGGAAAACGCCTGGGTGGACCTAGCCCCGCCTTCACAGCACAGTTCTTCATCAGAGCTGCAGCGTCCAAGCCTCCGCCTCACACGCCCCAAACCACTCAGCTCCTTCAGACTAGCCAGCAACAATTAGCAAACACCTGGTGGAACTGAGCATCTGCTGAGCTCATTACAGGAGCTACTTCTCAATGCAGCGCTGGTAAAATTTATGAAAGGGTTAATGGAGGAGTCATGTTGTCATGACTTCCTGGAGGTGGAGTGTCAGAAAGAGCAGGAGCTTTTAAAAAGACAGTGGCCCAATTTCAAGGCTTTGAATTAGGAAGTCAAATTTCTTTTAACCCACGTTTGATCTGTAGCAGTTTTGTAACACCTGAAGTTAACATGCAACACTGACAGCGATGTTTTTGGTGAAGATACGTCTGATTTTGATTTTAATCACAAGATGCCAGGTCAGGTGTCTAGGCAAAGGGTTTGGGTTAACATTCGTTTCACATGGCAAAGATAATTAATCATAGTCTTGTTATCTCATGAAAGGTTTTTAAAGGATTTAAAGCAAAGTCCAATATGTGGACCCAAAAACACAGAGTGAGCATGGCGGACAGGCACTGTGCCTCCCAGAAGTATTCACACATTTTAAACATTTGTCCCTTTCCAGCACCAAGCTTCAGCACATTTTTATGTAGCATAAAGGAGCACAGCTTTGGGACATGGAAGGAAAATATGAATTATTTTACAAACAAAAATCACATGGCATTGCAGGCAGTACTTTGTAAAAGCAGCTGTGATTACAGAGACAGCTGAGTGCAGCACAATGGCTCCACAGTGTGAAGCTTTAGAACAGAAATGTCATGTGATGATCTGATTACATTAATCTAAAAACAAAACTACTGAAATAGTTTAATATCATCTATTTATAACACTATGTCACAATGTTAAATTATTGTACAGTGTATTATTATTGCTATTATAGTTGCTATCGGTAACCTTATTTTAATATACGTTTGGAACGTTTGTGTGAGCCTATGAGTATCAGACGCTGGTGCTACGCCTGAATATCCCCTCCGTGGGACAATAAAGGCTATTTATGTTCCGATTTGATTTCTATTTTTATGTCCATACTATAAATTCAGACAGCCAAGGATGCTGCGGTGATGAGAGAACACACCTCAGTCATTTCAGAGTTACTCTTTTCCAAATCAGCTGCTTCTAACAGATTTTTTAATGAGTTTCAGGACCAGATAAAGGCTGAACTTCCTGTTCGGTGTCAAGTGGTGAGATTAAATCTAAAGTGAAAACACACAGAGACACAGTGATGTGTGATGAGCTGAGGTGCTCAGAATACACAAACACAGAATTGAAGGATTTTCTTCCGTTCCCTGCCTGCATGTTGGATCCGTTTCACACAGAGCTGGTCATTCTGCATGTGTCGCCGTCACACTGGGATTCGGACAAACCCATGTCTGGACGGCGGATTAATAAAACTCTGGCTCATGAAAAATACCTCAATGTATTTGCATCACCTTCATAATTCTATTTCTGTGACTGTGCGAACATTGATCACTGGATCTCTGCTGTCAGAGAATGTTGATGCTGCTCATCCATTCAGTCTACAGAATATTTCTATAATTTTAGCAGAATGTTTTTAGCAACTCTTATTTGTCTTACTTCTTTCAGTAGATTGATTTATATATATATATATATATATATATATATATATATATATATATATATATATATATATATATATATATATATATATATAGTACATATATATAGTACAGTGAAAAAAATGGGATGTCTCTTGTCCAGAGAATTTGATTACCTCTCTCAGGACACACTGGGGGCGTTTCTATAGTAACAAATTGCTGAACTGGTTAGCTAGACAGAAGGATGCTAGCTACTAGCGTGGTCAACATATCGAAGTGGTTAAAAACGAACATACAGCAGTGAACATTAGCAGGAAAAAGAAGCAGTCTGTCTCAAGCGGAACACGTTCTGTATGTCCTCAATGGGCTGCCGTCTGTAAAGTTACACAGGAACAGAAAGATCTGGTTTATTCAGCCTGTTGGGGAAAAAATGTGGATGTTAATTTTTTAAAAAAAATAATATTTTCATACATTTAGAAACATGAGCGTTCAAAACTAAATATTTCATTCACAGGCTAAATATTTAGTTAACACACTAAATATTTAACCTTCAAATTAAATATTTAGTAAAGAATCTAAATATTTAGCTCCTGACTGAAGGTTTACATCTGAGCTCGATATTTAGTTCCCAACAAAGATATTTATTTTCCAAACTTAACATTTACTTTTCATACTGAATATTTGGGTCAGACCTGAATAGTTGCAAGCTGAATATTTTTGCTCATATATATATATATATATATATATATATATATATATATATATATATATATATATATTTTTTTTAAAAAAAAAAATATTTTATATATCTCTCTCTCTATATATATAATATATAAAATA